AAATGTTGAATTGCATTGATTGTTTTTAAAGTATAGAACCAATCTTGCATCCCTGGAATAAACCTATACCCGGTCATGCTGTGTGATTCTTTTTACCTATTGCTGAACCATGTTTGTTAATAGTTTGTTAAAGATTTTTGTATCTATATTCATGGGCTTTAGTGGCTTGTTTTTTTTTTAATCTTTGTACTGCGTTTTGCTGGTTTCTGTATCAGAGTAATAATTAGCTTTATAAAATAAAGAGATTTTGAAGAATTAGTGTTAATTTTTCCTTAAACTGGTAGAATTCTCCAGTAAAGCTATTTGGGCCTGGAGATTTCTTTTTCGAGAAGTTTTAAAATTATGAGTTAAGTCTCCTTAATAGTTGTAGGGCTAATCAAATGATTTATTTCATTAGGTTGAGTTGTGATAGCTTGTGTTTTTCAAGGATTTAGTCCATTTCATCTAAACTTTCAAATTTATGTATGTAGAGTTGTTCATAGTATTTCTTTAGTATCTTTTTGATGTTTGTAGGTTCTGTAATGTAATCCTGTTTCTTTCCCAATTATATTTTCTCTTTTTCTTAATTATTCTTATTAAAGGTATATTTTATTCATCTTTTCAAAGAATAGTTTTTTGTTTTATTCATTTTCTTACTGTTTTACTATTTTGAATTTTGTTGATTTTTGCTCTTTTTTATTGCCTTCTGCAACCTTTGGGTTTATTATCCTCTTTTTTCCCTTAGAGTCTTAAGGTGGAGGTTTTGAGACCTTTTCTATTTTCTGTTGTATGTGTTTAGTGCTACACATTTTTCCCAGAGCACTGATTTAGCTACGTCCTGCAAATTTTGATACATTATATTTTTCATTTTCATTGAGTTCAGTATAGTTTTTTATTTCCCTTGAGGCTTCATCTGTGAACCATAAATTATGTGGAATTGTGTTGCTAAGTTGCCAGGTTTTGGAGATTTTCTTGTCATTTTCCTGTTTTATAGAGATGGTGAGATGTGTGTGACCAGATTCTGGAAACATTTTTGAAGGTAGAGCTGACAGGATTTACTAATAGATTTTGTGTACTGTATGGGAGAGAGAGAAAGAGAGAGAAAGAAAGGCAGAAAAGGGAGAGAGAGAATAGGAGAAGTCAGTGGTAGTTTAATGTCCTCAGTCCAAGCAAGTGGAAGAATGAATTTGCCATTTATTGAGATGGCACAGGTTCAGGGAAGTGCAGGTTTGGGGAAGTGTGGGGAATCAGGGCTTTGGGTTTGGATGTATTAAATTTGAGACACCCTTTAAACTAGATGTCTAGTAGGAAGTTGGCTATATAAGCCTGAGTTCAAGAGCTGCAGGCGTCCTGCCTGGAGGCATAAAATTTGGGAGTTGTCATTCTATAGATGATATTAAAAGATACAGGACTAGATGCGATTACATCTACAGTGGGTATAAATAAAGAAGAAAAGAGTCCTGAGCCCTGGGGCACACCAATATTTAGAGGTCAAGGGGTTGAAGAGAAACCAGCAAAGGAAAATTAGAAGAATCAGTGAAGCAGGAGAACCAAGAGAAAGTGGTGTGCTGGCTGAAAGCTGAGTGAGACAGTGTTTCCAGAAGGATGGAGTGATTAACTTGTCAAGTAAGAATAGAGCTGAAAATTGGCTCTTGGATTTGGAAACGTGGAGGTTTCTGGTGATCTCGCTAAGATCAGTTTGTTGGAAGGGGAGGAGGGAGGAAAAAAGGAAGAGAAGACAATGATGGCAAGCATAGACAACTATTTGGAGGAGTTTTAGTGTAAAGGAAAGCAGAAAAATGGGGTAGTGGATAAAGGGGGAGATGAGGTTGAGCAAGGAGTTACAACTGTATGTAACAAGTAAATATATATATGGAAGCCTTGTATTTAGATAGAGAATCTGAATTTATTTTGATTGACAGTGAGGTCTAAAATTTCATATAGTGAGAAGTCTTCAATAGGCTTGATAATCTTAGCAATAGCATTTATATTTGAAGAAGATTTAGTTAAATATGAGATGGTCTATGCAAGATGTATAATTTTAAAGGTTGTTTCTTTAGTTTAATTTGGATTTGCAATTTCAGTTAACCCTTTCCAGTAAGAGTCCCCCCAAATGAATATTTACCTAGCAGTGATAGAAAACTTTATCTTTACAGAGTACTTATCAGGCTCTATCAGAATAAACACAAAAGAATGAGAATGTACATTAGAGGTATAGAAAGGAATGAAAGTAAAGTGGTCCCAAACCCCAGGGTAACTGAGTCTTGGGCCATACTGGGACCTGAAGGTGACATTCACATGCAACCCTCCACAGGACTGATGGTTAGCCTCTTGGCCGACCCTCCTCCCCTTCCTTTTCATTTTTTTTTTTAAAATTGCTTTCTACACTGAAACGTTTGTTTTAAACTACTTCCAACTTTCCAGTAGCAAAGTCAGCAAAGTCCTTCAAATTAGAATCATTTTATTTGTTCTCCAAGACACTTGGTTTTCCAAAGCCTTTTGCCTGTACAGCTAGGTTGCATTTCCCAATTTCCCAGTCACCCTTGTGGTTGGCTGGCACCAAAGCAATGAAGGTGGGAGTAACACATGCTGCTTTCAAGGCCTCGGTGTGCGTGTTAGAGAAGTCCTTTACAACCACCCACGCAGTTAACAGCTCTGCTTTAGCTTTACTTGCTCCTTGCCCAGACTTCAAGGTCAGTGAGAGGTGAGGGCTTAGGACATTTCCAGGTCATCTTTTGAGCATGTGGATGGCTGTCTAGATTCCCAGAAATATATGTGAGATTTTCAAAGCCCTTCTGGGCATCTCATTCCTCAGTCTTTCCTTTTGAAATTTTGATTAGTCCAGTATTTGCCCCACCTGTTATCCGTTGCCTCTGGTTAATGTGTTGCTAAAGTATCCAAAAACACATTCCCATCTCCAGAAACTTTTACCACTGGGTGGGTTTCAGTGAGGTGAAATAAAGACAAGCCTTTTGAGTGGAGTCTTCCAGGAACCACCCAGACAGGTGACTTCTTTGGGAATGAGATTTTGAAAGAGCTCCAATCCTGTTTTGCTCCCCCCTAATCCCAGAAATGGAGGTTATTACTTTTCAAACCTGTGCAGAGATGGAAAGTGGGAGATGAGACTAGGGTGAGTTAAAATGCCACAAAGCTTGTTGCTCTTCCTGAGAGCCAGCCATTGTCTCGCCTAAATGCTCCCCAGGTTGCTGCAAGCCTTTGGTTAATATCCAGATTTCTGACTTTTTTTTTTTTTTAGCTTTTATGGAGTGGTGCTCTTGGAGGTCCTCCTTCTACCACTTCACACTTTTAATAAATTTTTTAATTTAAAAGTACACTTGACCCTTGAACAACGTGCGTGTTAGGGGCACTGGTCCTTCGAGCAGCTGAAAATCCACACATAACTCACAGTCAGCCCTCCGGATCGTGGTTCCTCAGCAACCTCCATTCCTCCATATTCAAGGTTCTGCATGTGTGAATTCAACCAACCCTGTATAGTGTAGTATTGTAGTATTTTTAAAAATCCACGTATAAGGGGACTTAAGCAGTTCAAACTTGTATTGTTTAAGGGTCAACTGTATTTCTAACTTTTGGGAGGGAGTGTTTCACAAGTTGCTTTTAAAGTTCACATGAAGAAATAAATCCTTGAAAATCCTTAAAAATAGTAATGATATAAAAATAGCTCCACCTAGTATTAAGACAGCTTTTAAAAATACAATTATTAAAATAGTGTAGTACTGGCAGTAGTTAGATCAATGAAACAGAAACGGAAGTCCAGAAGAGGAACCAATATAAATGATAATTTAGTGTGTAATACCAATGGCAATGCATGTCAATTAGAAAGAGAGGTTTAGTAACTTTACTAGCATTAGGAAAAAGATTAACTTGGATTATTATCTAACTTCTTACCGCAAAGTAAGTTCCAGATATATCAAAGATATAAACATAAAATGAAAAAATCATTAAAATAATGAGAAAATAATCTTTGAGTAGGTACATTATGGAAGCAACCCAAATATCCATCAAAGTAAAATAGATAAACACATGTGGTATATTCATACATGACAATAATATACAACAATGAAAGTAAATGAACTGTAGCTATTCACAACACGCTTGAGTTTCAGAAGCATAATGGTGAGTTTCCTTCTATATGGAATTAAAAATGAGCAAAATAAACTATATTTTAGGGATGCATACAAATGTGGGAAAGTTGTAAAGAGGCAAAAGGAAATGATTATTACAAAAATCAGGATGGTGGTTACTTCTGGGGTGATGGCAATGTTCCATTTCTTGACTTGGTTAGTGACTTTATAGGTGTTTATTTGATGGTAATTCATTAAACTATTCACATAGGTTTATGAACTTTCCTGTATGATGGTTACATTGCTCCAAAAAAGAAGAAAAATTATAAATAGGATGTAGTTCGATGTCTAGTATTTGGCATTATATCATGGGTGTATTTTTGTTTTGAGGTTATTTATATTTTTTAACATCTTCCTAGATTCCTCTAGATTCATAGTTCCTAACGTTTAGAGGAGTCTCTCTCTTTTCTCAAAGAGTTCTGCATTCCACTTTCTAGGGAATGTTAGTGTCCATAATTAAATCGTATTAGAGAGACATATGGAAAGCCATACGATTGAGTGGCTGCTGTCAAATGCCATTCCAGTGCTGCGTGGGGGTAACCAGGCTTTACTTTTCTTCTACTGTAATCTGGATTTCACTTCTAGATCTATATAAAGCTGATCCAATCCTCTGTTTATAGGATTGAATTTATTTATAAGGATGAAATTTACTTTTCAAGGCTGTGGTAATAGTGGCTACTATGCATTTTAATGAAACAAGACAAATAATAGCATAAATGATTGTTCTAGGACCAGGGAATAATGTTTTTTCTCTGCATACATTTAAGGGAAATAGTTTTTAAAAATGGATTTGATGCGATTTCCTGTTGTTTCATCTTGTTGTTTGATTTTTTTTTTTTTAAACAATGGATCCTGACCTTTCTCCTGTATATATCCCAGGACATTTGTTTACTCACTGCTCACTAGAGGGAGGCCTTTTCCAGTTGTCTTCCTTTTCAGAGGCTTTGTCTTCTGCGTGGGAAATGGACTCCTCCAAAGCTACTATCTGGTTTACTGTGCTGAATACCCTGCTGAGTGGTACACAGACATACGGTTTAGCCTGGGTAAGTAAATCTGACCACGTCTCACCCACGCCCCAGTAAACATCCCTTCCCACAGGCTAAATCACCATCACCTCTCCCTGTCCTACTGCAGTAACCTCCCAAGGATTCCATCCTGCCCTCCTCTCACCTTTGTCTTTTCTCTGTATACAGCCTCAGAGATCTTTGCAAAACATCATTTCATTCCCCATCTCAAAACCTTCCAACACATTTCTGTTAATCTCAGGATAAAACACAAATTCCTTACAACTGCCTTTGAAACCCAAATGCTCTTGGTCCTGCCCCCTTTCCTGACTTAATCTCCTGTGTCCATTCACCTCATCTTCTGTGCTGTAGCCTCATTGGCCTTTCTGGACCTGCAGCGGTCAAAGCCTGTCCTGCCCAGAGCTTTTGTACAGTCTACACCTGTTGCCTAGAATTCCTAGCCCTGTGTTTTGATGGAGCTTGGTCCTTCACTTTATTTAAGTCTCTGTTAATTCATACTGTCTCAGAAAGATTTTTCCTGACCACTTACCTAAAATAGTAAGTAGAAAACACTGATCATTGAGTTTTTTTCATTATCTGCAGGAGGAACTAAAGTTCTTTACTAAAGTAAAGGTTCAAGTGTTTGTACATTATTTTGGCTCAAACTAAAAAGACAGAGATTATCCTTAATTTTCTTTACATCACACACCTCATTCTCTACAAAAGCTTAATACAGCTGCCTCTAGCTCCAAAATAGGTGCCAACGGGGCTCAGTTCTCCCTGACCGCACTAACTGTATCCTGGTCTGAGCCACGATGACCTCTTGCCTGGACTGCCACAGTGACCTTCAGACTAACCTTCCTACCTCTGGTCCTGGCCTTCAGTAGCCCCTTCTCCACACAACAGTCAGAGTGAACATTTGAAAACAAGAACAGCCAGAAGACTAGTTGTGCGAATGCTAATACAGGCACACAATGGAGTATTCTGGAGCCACAGAAACAACCAGATAATGAAAAACAAAAGCAAGGAACATCTCTGTGCTCCTGTGGAGACATCTCCAGAACATGTGGTTAAATAAAAATAAAGTGTGCATGGTGTATATAGTATGCTGCTTTTTATGTAAAAATGGGATAGAAGGACAATGGCTGTATGTGTGTATAAAATTGGAAAAGGAAATATTGGATTGATAGAAAAGAAACTAATGTAAAAAAGGTTATCTCTAGGGTTTGGGATAAAAAGAATGGTAGGCAGAACTGTTTTTTAAGTATAGTTTTGTCCTTTGAATCATGGAACTTTACAATGCACTTTAAAAAGATCTAAATGGAAGAAAGTCCCTTAACATTGAGAACAAACGAAAAATGTACCTAACTTCACAGTAAACTGGTAACATAGCCATACAGGAAAATGATTTTTGTCAGTTTATAGGAATTATAGAGAATAAAAAAATAAGTCAAATGCCACCATGTGGAAGTAAGCCAGTCTTATATAAAAAGGGGAGGGCATTCTGAAGGACCACTGTCTGGTCTTTTCAAGAAGTCAGTGTCCTGGAAAAAAAAAAAGTAAGGAGTCTAGTTTAGATTAAAATGGCCTTAAAGGATATAATCACCAGGTGTCAGGTATGGTCCTGTATTAGACTTCGGTTTACATGAACCATCTAGAAGAGGAATTCTGGGAAATTGGAATATGCCTAGATATCATGTAAGATGAAGATCTGGAAGGAAATGCCCTAGGTGTTTGATGGTGGCAGTTCTTGGGTGGTAGGAATAAAGTGTCCAGGTTTTCTTACTTTTGCTAATTAGTGTTTCGTCTCACACAAAACATACATACTTCTTTTGTAGTAATAATAAACTGACATCAGATCCTACTTCTTCTCTGCTTAAAACCTGCCGATCGTTTACTATTGCACTTAAAAATCCAAACTCCTCACAATGGCCCATAAAGTTTGATGTGATTTTTTAAAGTTATCATCCTGTTCACATCTCCTTAATTTCCCCCATCTAGTTAAAGCATTAGCTGTGACACTTTTGTTTTTTTAGACATTCTAAACCTATACTAGCCTCAGGACCTTTGCACCTGTTAGTCCTGCTACCAGAACGCTCTCCCTCAGACCTTTGTATTCTCATTATTCAAATCATAGGAAAGATGCCAAATCTTCAGAAAAGCTTTCCTTATTGACCTCATCTACAGTAGAGGTATTTCCTTCCCACCCCAATCCACTCTCTCATTATCCTATTTTGATTTTCTGCTTTGTAGTGATATTATGTGATTTTTAATTTTTTTGTTATTTTAATTCATTTCTGTGTTTCTCCACTGAAATGTCAGCTCTGTGAGAACAGACACCTTGGCTGTTTTTCTCACTACTGTATCCTTGGTGTTTAGTACAGTGCTTGGTATACATAGTAAGACCTCAATAAATACTATTTGAATAAATGAATGAAAGAATCAACACGTGAATGAAGTCTCATACCATCCTTGTAAGGCAGGTACTGTTAAAATCTGTATTTTACAGAGGAGAAAACTGAGGCTGAGAGAGGTTAAATGAACTGTCCAAGAACACACAGACATTGAAGCTAAGGTGCTTGCTTTTCCACTGCTATATGTGCTATCTCTCCACCCCTTTCCCTCCCTCCACTGACGTCCCCTCCCAGGTTCCCTTTCTTCCAGGCTAATGATCTTTTGATTAGACAAGATTGAAAATTGTTGTTTCATATAACAGCAAATGTGGTGAGAGTAGATCTGTTTCTAATTCAGTTGTTCTTGCTTTTTGCCTGAAGTATTTTGATCAGCACAAATACACTTGGCTGAGAGATGGGGTTGGGCATCCTTGTGGAACAGTGAGTGTTTCTGGGCCTATTGGGATATAAGACCAAGCATGCCTGATCCTAGCTCTCCTCACCTCAGACCAGGGTCCTTTCTGTACCAGCAAATGGAGAAGGGGAGTGTATGTATGAACCAGCAGCAGTGGAAACCAGTTTGCTAGGTGCCAGGCTCTCCAGTTAATTCCATGAGAATGGATATGTCAATCAGTAATGCTCTCAGCAATAAGTGACAGAAAACCAGCTCTAAGTGACTTAAATAACTACGATTTTACATTTTTTACATAACAAGAATGTCCAAAGGTAGGTGGTGTCTGCATTCCTTCAGTTGTTTATTGGTGTCATTAAGGTCCCAGGAACTTTCTTTCCATTCCACTGTTCTCAGCATATTTACGTCTAGTCCTCATGATAGCCACTTCATGGTTTTGCAAGACAGTTCCTGTGGCTCAAGACATTGCATCTGGCAACAAAGGAAGAGGGAGGCTGTAGAAGCAGATTCCATCTGCCCCCTTTATTGGAAAAGCAAAATATTTCCAAGGAAGCCCCCAGAAGACTTCTCTTTACATCCTCTTTGCAGAACTAGGTCACAAGACTAGCTTCCAGCCCTCCGGCCTCTATAGTGGAAGGTGGCAAAGAAGAAGGGGTTGGAATTGGCTGTTGAGTTTGCTGACCATGGTTTGGTTATTTGTGAATGAGCTGAAGGCTTGCTGTCTATTCATTTATTTATTTTATTTACTTATTTATGTAAGTATTGGGTGATGGTGGTGCCTCCCTCGCCCCTCTCCCACTTGCCGTCATCACGTGCCGCTGTGCATTTTTAGTCTTGGTCTATGAAACAGCACAGCCCCTCCATTCAAACCTGGGGCCAGGGTTAATTGCCTACTCCCTCTTTTTTTCCCCCCATCTCTGTATGATTCTTAGAATTCAAAGTTAAGTGCCTTTCCCTTTATTTTTAGGGAAAAAAAACTTAGCTTGGGAGAAAAACGCCAAAATCAGAACAACTTTTTAACGTCTTCCCTCTCTTCTTTGCCAAGGTGTCTTCTTATTTATTTTGGGAATGGGAATCAACATTCATAGTGACTATATCCTGCGCCGGCTCAGGAAGCCTGGAGAAACCACCTATAGGATCCCACAAGGTAATGTCCCCCTGCCCTCCAGGTTCCCACTCTTCCTTGGGAGACTGCACCAGGAATTATGCTGTGAGTGACAAGTGGAGAGGGGACAGACAGGGCACAAACAACCCTGTATCCCAATTCCCCCCGACCTCTCCTCCATATCCTATTCTACTCCACCATACATTTGCATTTCTGATCTGAACTTTTAAAGATCAAGAGTAGTACAAGTAGTACAAGAACCTCAGGAAGGTTCATGACCACAGGACCCTTGAGGGGAGGGGAGTGTGAGGTTTGGAATAGGATGGAGGAAGGCTGCCACTTCGTTGGAGTAGCTGAGATTACTGTGCCGCATTAGGGTTCTCCAGAAACATAGAACCAGTAGGAATAGATGTAGCATAGCTATCGATGTAGATATTGATGAAGTTATTTATTATAAGGGATTGGCTCACATGGTTATGGAGGCTGAGAAATCCCATGATCAGCCGTCTGCAAGGTGGAGACCCCGGAGAGTAGGTGGTGTAATTTCTAGCTTGAGTCCCAAAGCCTGAGAACTAGGAGAGCTCACCATGCAAGTTCCAGTCTGAGTGCAGGGGACTGATATCCCAGCTCAGAAACAGAGCAGACTCTCCCTTACCCTGCCTGTTGTTCTGTTCAGGCCTCTGGCGGCCTGGATGCCCATCAGCACTGGGGAGGACAATCTGCTTTACTCAGTCTGGATTCAGGAATCATCTCCCCAGAAAAAGCTTCACAGACACACCCAGAAATAATGATTAACCAAATGTCTGGGCACACTAATGGCCCAGTCAAGCTGATACAAAAAATTAACCATCCTACGTACAGAGTGTCGATCCTTCCTGGGTTAGCAAATAAAGGTAAATCATGCACGACCGACAGATCTGTCCTCTTCAGCAAGTCTCATTAGACTTTCTAGTGCGTCGCCAGGGGTAGTGTTTGTGCATTTCCTGCCACTTGTATGTTCTTAAAGCTTCAGAGGAGCCATAGTTTTCTAGTCAAAAATTAGCATGGGAAATCTCACAAATGCATTTTCAGAGGTAAAGGTGCAGAATATTTGAAATCCTAATGATTCCTAAGTAACCAGGATGTGAAGTTGACAAATACAAGCAGGTGGGAGTGAATTAGTCTAAGTCATCCTTCAATATTTTTAGGGGGTTTTAGTGTAGGTCAGTGACTCCTCACCTTTTTTGATGTAAATATAATCCTTTATTTACATTAAAAATAAATGAATTATGACATGGGGTTAACACAGATTAGTATCTACTGATTACAAAAACAATGACAAAGCTACTTTGGATTCAATAACACATTTAAATAAATTTGCATGTTGCTAACACCCTAACAGTATCTATAACAAGCAAAAATAACTGTAGGTTGAGATCTATACTGTTTGCTATATTCATAGACTGTTTATAGACCCTTCGCAATAGGCCAGTGGTTCCTTCTGGGATCTGGGGAATTGCAGGTCAAGAACTGCTGATGCAATGCCACCCTTAAGGAAGATAACTTTAAGGGGCTTTGATTTTTTTAAGTCTTCACTCAGTAACTAGACAAATAGAGAAGAGCAGAGGAACTTCTTAAAAGCTCGATTGCCAAGCTTAGTTTCCAGCTATTAAGTTAGGTTAGAGAATGGTTTAAAAACAAGATATTCTTTATATAACATGGAAAGAAAAAGAATTGTTCTGGTTAAAACTTTCCCAGTCTAGTGTGGGACAGAAATTCTAAGTGTAGAAATATTTACTGTCATTAGAATGTGTTGGTTTCTAGACATAGTTTTGAGATCAGAAATAGTGGTTGGAGAGAAAAGGAAACCTTTAAAATCAGTACAGATGCCCGAGCCTCGAGGAGGGCAAACCCGTGCAGCTCCCACTCCGCACCTGAAGCTTAAACAGAGGGAACTGCTTTGCGCGAGGGGAGGGCAATGGCCAGAGGGGAGTCTGGTTACTTCCCACATCAGTTCAGATTTTTATTATTTTCACGGCGTGTGTTGTTTCACTTTTGTGACTGTGAACAGTGATGTGGTCTGACGGGCAGTGCGGGTGTCCAGGGAAGGAGTGAGAAGGTGAAAGGCGGTTGGAAATGTTACTTGATAGAACGGAACAAACCGCAGACCTGTTCGGAGCCAGTGGTCCAGCAGTTGTTAGAGAGTGGATGGAGCCCATTCGGCAGTTGGGGCCACTCCTCATGACTCTAGGCTGTTCTGAGGGCTACTGGCTGCCAAGGCTTTGTTTTCCTTTCTCCCCGGGAGGATTCCACCAAACTCCCATGGCTGTGAAGGCAGTCTCCAGCCCCGCATCAGGTCTGGATGCCCTCATGTATTTTGGAACAAAGCAGAGGGGTTTTAACAGGGCAGTGATCCAGTTCTGGTGATTGACTTGTTCATTCTTCTGCACGCAGGTGGCTTGTTCACGTATGTTTCTGGAGCCAATTTCCTTGGTGAGATCATTGAATGGATCGGCTACGCCCTGGCCACTTGGTCCCTCCCAGGACTTGCGTTTGCATTCTTCTCACTTTGTTTCCTTGGGCAGCGAGCTTTTCACCACCATAGGTAAACTTTTCAATCAAGGTGGCAGCATCCACGCGGCTTTCTTCTCTGAACAGGCTTTTATTAACACAAGAGTCAGATTTAGAAACCTAAGAGATTTATTTTTTACAAGGTAAGGTTGATACAATAGTCCAGACTAGTAAACTCTGACTTCTTAGGTTTTCACTGAATTTTCAATTTAGCTGGGTGGCAGTAGCGGTAACTTTTTTTTCTATGAGCAAAATCAAACCTACATACACAGGGCACTCAAGGTGACTTGGGAAGCCATGTGCCACCTTGTTGAAGAAGGCTTCCCGGAGAGAAGCACTTTGTGTCCACGTGAGTTAGTTCACCTGTGCTCTGTGTGCTCCTGTCAGGCTTACCTGGCAGTGGCTACTGTTTGGCAGTGGGCTGTAGGTAAGAGTCAGGAGGTACAAGACATAGCTTCCATTCCCATGCTTCAGTTCAGTTCACCTCCACCACACCTGTCCAAGTGTGTTCCATGGGTGGGACCATGGGTGGCACTTTCCAGAACTTCAGAGGTAATTCTCAGGTGCAGCCAGGGTTGAGAACCACCAGGAAAAAGCACTAGCCCTGTGTCTAGTGTGGCTGCTGTTTTGATTCTAAGTTTGATGCTAACAGTTCAGGTCATCACAGAGCCCTGGAAACTCCAGGATTATCTTCCCAGGATCTGTATAATACCAGGGCTTATTTTGGAACTCTCCTCCTTCCCCTATCCAGATCCTCCATAAATTCTAATCAGGGGCATTGCTGGCTTTCTGGGAAGGTAGGATCAACAGTTGTGTACTTGTGTTGTGCAGTCTCAGGACTATGCCGTCTACTGATGAATTCTGGAAATTGCAGGGGTTTAGACTCCCCTGCAGGTATAGCCTGAAGCTTTACTAACTCCTACTTCCCTCCCATCCCCTGCACCTGGGATGGGGTGGGGACAGAAGAGCTAACTAAAAGTTAACTAAGAAGGTTACATACTAAGTTGCTGTTATGTTCGACTAATGTTCAACTAATGATTAATTTCATAGTTTTGAAGGTTAAGCTGAGAATGAATTCTTTTCCTTGAGTGCAGTTTATGCAGGGAGCTGTCGGAAGTGAATGAAACAGCAGCTCTCCTGGGCTTGGTGGGGAAGGGGGCCAGAGGGTCCCCAGCCTGTAGGAGAGTCAGCGTAACAGTTGTCTCCCTTTCAGGTAGGGCCTGTGGCCCACCAGACTCAGAGTGGTGAGGGAGAGGACAGGGCATTGCCAGCATTTGGAGGGGCCCTGGTCAGGGGAGGGACAGCATTTTCACCAGAGGATTCCAGCTGGTGCAACAGCAAAATCCAAACTGAGGTCCTGTCCTGTTATGTCAGGCAGCTTCAGAGGGAAGATCAGAGGGCCTCTTTTTTTTATAGGGCTAACTGGGGTTTGTGAGAGGCAGCTCTGCAGACCTCAAATCACAGCATGGAAAGCCAGCCACCTCCTGTGATGTATTATTACTATTTGTACCCCATTTCAAACTAAGGTACTTGTGCAGAGTGTTAGTTCAGAGAAAAACCTGGTCACTTAAAGAGAAAGCCTTTTTATGAGATGTATTAGTCTCCTGGGGCTGCTGAAACAGATGACCACAAAATGAGTGGCTTAAAAGAACAGAAATTTATTCTTTCATAGTTCTGGAGGCAGAAGTCTGAAATCAGGATGTGGGCAGAGCCATCCTCTCTGAAGGCTCGAGGGAGGAATCCTCCCTTGCCTCTTCCTAGCTTCTGGCAGTGGCAGTAATCCTTGGTGTTCACGGTTTATAGCTGCATCACTCTAATCCCTGCCTCTGTCTTCTCCCCGTGTGTCTGTCTCTGTGTCGTTTCCTCCCCTTCTCATGAGAAGGCCAGTCATAGTGGCTTAAAGGCCCACATTGCTCCAGTATGACCTCATCTTAACTTGATAAATTATATCTGCAATGACCCTATTTCCAAAATAAGGTCACGTTCTCATATACTGAGGGGTTAGGACTTCAGCATATATTTTTAGGGGGATACAATTTAACCCATAAGAAGGTAACATTTTCCTGGCATTCTCAGGCCTCATGAAGGGCTATTTTCCTGGGAACATGACTAGTTGTCTAGGGTTAACCTTGCCCATGCTCTTTTGGGTCTCTGGTTCCTTGTATTTCTCAACTGAATCCATTGGGTACTTCTTTCTGGCCGTGACATTTGTTTTACTGGGCGAAATATACACGACATAAAATTTACCATTTTAAGACAATAAATTTACCATTCATTGGCATCAAGTACATGCACCATGTTGTACAGCCATCACTGCTGTCCTCTGGCTGTTACTTTTTATTTCTCAACACAAGACACTTCAGCACTTAAAACAGATTGGAGACAGGACAGAGGAAGATGACAGATGGCCATCTGGAAAAGTCAGGCTCTGAATAACTGGGGGCTGATTTATGTCAGGGATTTCAGACAGATGAAACCTCAGTTGTTGACCACAGTTTGGTTATATTTATAATTATTCCTTTCTTGTCTTTTAGGTTCTACCTCAAGATGTTTGAGGACTACCCCAAGTCTCGGAAAGCTCTCATTCCATTCATCTTTTAAAGAAACCAAATGGAAAAGGGATCAGGCTGTTCAACAATCCTGTCAAAAACCATCAAGCTGCTGAACATGTAACTTCCCGCTGTGTATATGTAATAGTAGGTCTCTCGTGTTCTGGCAGCCAGCCTAAAGGTCTGCCTTGGTCCCTTTAGAGTTTCCTTCCTCCCTTCCTGGGGATCTCTATCCTAATCTCCTACTGAAGCTTCAGCAAGACCCTTTACCACGTACAGACACCTGCTGCTTAGCTATTCCTCCTAGAAAGTGCGAACTTCCCTGTATGTCTTTTTCTTTGAATGACCCGAGTACATGTGGCTTTGTATCTTTTCTGTGTCAATGTAAAGTACCCCTGTCGTCGAGAAGGTTTTGAGTTGAGGATAGTGCCTGTAGAATTTGTTAAACGGGTGCATTTGAGCCCTGTACAAATCAGCAGAGATTGAAATTCTGAAGCTGCACAGACCCAGAGCAAATCTTATCCCAAATGAAAACCCAGTCACATCTTCCTTTTCCTTAGTTAATTATGAAAGATGTGAAATGATTGTAGACTTTTAATAGAGGAGCTCTCTCTTCGCAGTGCTGAAATGCAACGAGGCATTGACCCGATTTCAAAGTTGTGCATTGTCCCAGTACCTCTGTCTTCCTGAAGAGTCCGTGGTTTCTTTTAGAGATATCATAGCCTAACCCAGAGAACTCGGGTGGGTTTTTTTGAAGGTAAGGTTTTAGTGAACACAAAGAAGAGTACGTGACTCTGGTTGACTGCAGAGAGGATTAGTGTTTCACAACACACTGTAAGCTCTCATATTGTTGGAAACTGGTGGAAATATCCAAATAATGAAAGTGTTAGATGAGGAAAATTACCGAGTAAGAGCATATGCCACTTGCCTTGCGGAGACATGTACAGTGAAAATGAAGCATCACAGAAGCACCCAGCAACTCTTCTCTTCTGGACTTTCTGCATCACAGTCCTCCGGATCTAATCAAGAAGGCATGTCTTGGGGGTACCTTGAACATCATTCCTCGAAAGTCCTGGGGACAGAGCCTGAAAACTGTAACCGGAGGGACATCTCTGGGAAGAAAACCTGTCTTTTGGCTCCAGCAGTGTTTCACTCATAGTTTGGTTTTCTTTTCTTTTTTTTTATATATTCAAAATTTCCAAACTTTAAAAATTAGATTTCTACATTTTTTTAGCTTCCTTTAAAACGTCACAGGATCTTGGCCAGAAGAGCCTGCTAAGAACTGGGATGATCAGCTGGTACACATTAGAATTTGTGACCTCTGTGGAGGGGTCACCATCACGTGGGTGCTGAGGCTGGGCTCTCTAAGGAAGGGGCTGAACATTCGTCTTCAGAACATAATGGTGATATTTGCCTCCTCAGGTCTAGGTTTGTGGCAAGTGTTGGTAATATGTAGCAGACCCCTTGGAGAAGTGAGAACCAGTTTTGTCAGATGCAGTGCTAAGAACTGAAATTTACTAGATAAAACACACAAGGCACTCAGAAGATCTGAAGAGTATGTAGATTACTGAAGAATACAAATTGTCATCATATAAATACGTGTTTTACTGTTTATTAAATGCCTCTCGAATCATGTATGTTAAGTAACCTTTTTTAATTAAAAGATCCCGAAACTCATGAAGATTTTCATAAGGTGTTAATCTGTGTTTGTTCACCCTTTTTTCTGTTTTTTTTGCTTGTGTTGCTTCCTTTTTCTCTTCTTTTCATTTTGCCAATTTGACATTCAAGACTCTGAGCTGAAAATAAAAGAGAAATATAACTTATAGAGCTTGTCAGCCACAGCTCAGATCTCCAGGCAGGTGCAGTAAAGATGCAGGAGAACATGCTAAGACTGGATGCCACCCCCAGTGTTCAGGAGCACACAGGAGAGTGGGGAAAACACATTCAGTGAAATAAAGTTTAAGGGGTAGCGTGGGTTCTGTGAAATAAAAGATTTCCCATTCTCTCCATGACATTGAAAACTGCCTTTATGAAATCCTTTATCTTATTTCCATATGAAACATTGGGTTGGTCCTTGAAATGTAGTAAGTGCTCAATAAAGGGTAGCAACTATTTATTTGCCTGGTGTGTGAAATCTCAACGAAACTGCTCTTCAGCAATTGCATGTTTTTGCCACTAGAGGGTTCTCTCCAGAATTTTATTTAGACCAACCCTGATTTACTAAGGTAACTTACACGTTTGGAAATGTAAGGAACTTTATCGTCCTTTCAAGTTATCATGATCATGAACCTTCTTAATTTAATATAGTGTAGAATAAGCTTCACGTAATCTTAAATATTCTCTCGATGACTGCAGTGTACAGTTTTCAACCCAGTTTCTCTTTTAGGGCTACAATGCGTTTGCAGATGGAATACAATAAAGGTCTGAAGTCTTGCTTGTTCCCAGACATACTTCTCTCTTCTCCTAAAGCTAGAGTGCAACAAAAATATGGTTAATTTAGGTTTCTGTGGAGTGGTTTTTGAAACGAGGTGCTGAAATTTGACTGGCTTAGCTAACTAGATACTATGCCTGACTCCTGCCAAAACTTTCATGGAGGAAATGTTTTCCCGCTGCCCTTGTAGGAGGTTTTGTAATGCTTTGTTTGTTTTCAGAATTAAAGAGCCAAAGCACATTTAAGTCATCAGCTAGTCCCACTGCTTCATATTATAGATGGAGACACTGAGACCCAGTGTTAACATGCCTTCCAAGGTGTCGCATAGCTGGTCAGAGCAACCGTCTTATCTTGACTCTAAGGATCAGAAGTCTTCTCTTCTTAAAGCACAGCAAGATTTTATAAGAGAGACCCAGCAGAGCCTACAAGGTAGGTGTGAATTTAAGGCCTGAATACACTCATTCACTCAACAATCATTTATTGAGTGTTTATATGAAAAATGGTAAAGGGTGGTAGGATATTGTTGAATTAGACATGATTCTTTCCCTTTCATGGGCTGCCACTGGATTTCTGAAGAACTCACACAGGATGAAAATAGCCAGCGTTTAAGTGCTGTGCCACAATTCAGATACGCACTGATTGTCCTGTGCGTTGGGTGGAACCAGCTTCCCTCCCTGTGGGGTGGGGGCTGGGATGGGGAACTGACTGATGCCCTTATCATGAACCTATTTGATAAAATGAAGATGTATCAGAGATGATGTTTGTGTTTTCACATCACAACTTCCCCTCATCCCTAACATCTTCATAAGGGGCAACATTGGTTCTGCTGTATTCAGGAGAGAGGACCTCTAATAAGAAATTTGCAATCAAATAATGATTTAAGTGGTTTAAACTCTTTCAAAAACTAATGAATAAGCCTATGGTTTTGCCTCCCTGTAGTTTTGTAATAGCTGTCTTGACTTTCTATGGTAACTTAATGGCAATTTCACCAAGAAGGAAGGGAGAAAGTTCTTGGATGTGAAGGAAGGGACTTAGGAAGAGTCATTTCCTTTCTTGCTTGGCCTTTCGATTCTTTAATAGGCTGTGGGCTGAGGTCCAGGCATAGCACATAAGCAGGGTGACAATAAACGTAGAGCAAAACCTTCTAAAGGAGGCTGCTGATTGTTTTGCAGCATGTATACTATCCCATGATGAAAGAGGCAGGTTGCCTGATGGTAATGTGGGTGCTTGGGTGGTTTAATAGCCATTGAGTGGATTTGATTTCTAAATAAGAGATTTGCTCTTTCTATCAGTCTACTGGGCTGTGATCTTCAAAGTTTCTGTGCTATTTGTGTTGCATCTCATTTCTTCCCGCTAACCACAGCTTGGAATTTGGATGAGTGAAGTATGTTTTGGGGGAAGGTTAAAGTATGTATTAAGCTGTGTTACTTCCTCTTGTCCTGACCACCTTGGTGCAGAGTTTGGCTTTGCTCAGTGTAGTCAGAGTCTTGGTAAGGATATGCAGTATCCTCTCCCACTTGGTAGGCTGGCTGGGAGGAGGAGGGGAACAGAGAGAATAGGTGAGGCAGGCGAGGAGTTACATGGGAGGAATGGGGCGAGGGTAGGGAAAGGTTGGCAGCAGAGTGAGGCAAAGGGCCTTGAGAGAGGAGGCCTCTCCCTGACAGAGGGGGCTTCTCCCCTTTCCCTGGTGTCCAGGTCTATATAAGCCAGCTCCCTTCCTTGTCCTCTGAGAGAGAGACTATGCTCTTCTTGGAGCTCCTTTTTTTTTTTTTTAATAAGGGAAGAAGCAGAGTTTCTTTAAACAAAAGCCATATGGCTGTGTCTTACAATAAGTAATTTAATTGTATTTCTGTCCTCACACCTCATAAAGAGAGGTTTAAGTTCTGTGCAGCAGTGACACTTGTGAGAAAGAGGTGAAGAAATTGTTCTGAGAAGCCTGTGACAGCATCCAAGTTCAGTGAGGCCAAAGGGCGAGGAGAGCAGCCAGAGCAACAAGCATCTGGCGGGGTTTCCCTCCTCACCGGCTCTGTTTTCCTCACTCTAGAGGCCCCAAAGAAGAGGGTCCTGTTGGGGTGCATTATTCCCAGCACTGACTAGAAAGCAAGTACCATAAAATCAATTAAATTTTGTTAATTAATTCGTTAACGCGTTAACTTATTTTGTTGACTCCTTTAAGATTCTTACAATATACGATATAGAGTATACATTTGACTGTAAACTGTGTTAAGTTCAGAGGTGTGTTGTATAAACTTCAGGACAACAATGTAAAAAGGGAGATATATAAATAATAAACTAGTAGTGGGAAAAAAAAAGCAATCACAAAAAAAAATTCTCAATCCCAAAATAATGCAGGGAAAGCAGAAGAAACGAAAAAGCAAAGCAAAACAAACAACAAAACCAGAAGGAGAAAATAGAAAATTGTGAGATGGTATCTGCAAGGAGTCTGGGAAAGCTTCACAGAGGCAGTCACATAAACTAGACCCTCATTTTGTTCGTTATGAAACTAGAGATGAATTTTAAATATGGACAAAACTCCCAACACATTTTATTGAAAATTTGGGATAGAGAAATGTAAAAGTTGAAAACAAGCCCTGTAGCCTTCTGTACAGCAGTCATTTGGCCTCTGGGGGTTCCATCTAGTCCTTATCTGGTCTTCTCAGTGCAGCTACTAGCAGAGTTATTAGCAGAGCCTTGTGTAGCTGAAACACACCGTCACACATTGTCAACAGTTCTAACGCATCTCTCCTCCATTCTGAAAGCTATAAAAATATGTTAGGTAAAAGCAGATTTGTTCTTCCCTGCACCGCTTTAATAGATTCATTATTTTTCTTTAGCCTATAAGAACTGTAGGAAAAAACCCAGGTGCCTGGTAATCACTGAAGACATGTCATATCAAATTTTTTATTCTTTAAGCAAATCTGTATTGAGATAACTGGATATCCACATGCAGGAGAATGGATTTGAATCCCTGTCTTGCACAATAAACACAAATTAACTCAAAGTGAATCATAAAGCTAAATATAAGAGCTAAAACTATAAAACCCACAGAAGAAAACATAGGAATAAATCTTTATGATGTTGGATTAGGCAATGATTTCTTAGATATGACACAAAAGCATAAGCAATAAAAGTGAAAACTGGCAAGTTGGACTTTATCAAAATTAAAAACTTTTGTTCCTCAAGGGACACTACCAAAAAAGTAAGAAGGCAACCGTGGACTGGGTATCACACATCTGATAAGGGACTTATATCCAGAATGCATAAAGACGTCTTACAACTCAATAATAAAAAGATAAATAACCCAATTAAAATGGACAAAGGAATAGTTATTTCTTTAAAAAAATACACAATGTCCAATAAAGACATAAAAAGATGCTCAATATTATTAATCATTTGGGAAATGCAAATCAACAACCACGATTAGATTTGACACAACATTGTAAAATGACTATAACTCAATAAAAAAATGTTCAGAAAAAAAACCAAACCACGATTAGATGCCATTTCACACCCAGCAGAGTGGCTGTAATCAAAATGATGTACAGTAATGAAGATTGATGAGGATGTGAAGAAATCAGAACACATATACATTGCTGGTGGAATGTGAAATGGTGTAGCATCTTGGGAAAAGAGCGGCAATTTCTGAAATGTTCCTGAAAATGTTAAACATAGGTTACTGCATAACCCAGCAATTCTACTCCTAGGTATTTTCCTTCTTTTAGTTGGGTTAGAGCACCAAGTGACCTGAAATTGACACTTAGTTAAATATCTCTTGGCAGGAATTAGTTTGTCTGGCTGACCCCTTGTCACAGGGTCTACCTGCGGCAGGGCAAAGAAGTGGACACAGACGAAGAGCCATCAGAGGGAAGAGACTTGAGTGGTGCTTGGAGTGCCCTCTGGTGGGGACTGTCTAGATGTGCAGCAGGGCCTGTGGGCAGTTGGGGGTTGGGATGAGAATTATGGGCACCCCATGGACTGGGGAGAGAGGCCAGAAATGAAATAAGGGGTAAATTTCAAAGGAGAGAGAGATGGTTAACTATAAGGAAGACAAAGAACCTGGCTGTGAGTTCCCCATCACTGGAGTGTTCAAGAAGAGTCTGGTAGATGACTTGAGGAAGGTCAGGTTAAATGGAAGCCATGGTTTAGATGAGCATTCTCTAAGCCCACTTCTCAGTTCATGACTCTTAAGTGCTGGGCATTGAAGACAAAATTCCTGGTTGACAGGTTTTCTTGTGCAAGCCTGGCCTGCAGTTCCAAT